TTGCGCAGGGAGGAGGGAGAGGGGAGAGAGAGGTGGCGGAGAAAAGGGAAGGAGAGAAGGAGAGGAGAGGAAGGGAAGGAGAGGAGGAGAGGGATAGAGGAAAAAGCCAAAAAAAAAAATCTGCTACTGGCGACGCCGACTTCCGACAATTGGTGAGGTGATGGAGAAGAAGTGGAAAGGAAAGAAAAAGAAAAGGAAAAAGAAAGAAAGAAAAAGTTTTACATCTTACAAAGTTTTTATACAACTTCTACAGTAAGTTATAGTAAAGTTTTAGAATAAAGATAACAACCTTAGAAAATTTTCTCACACTTTGCCTGGTTTATGTCTTGGTCCTTTTTGGTTTTGGAATAATGGAAATCGGAATTGGAATTTGGTTTGCCAATTGAGTTTTCTATTTCTAATTTTTGTATTATAACATATAAATGATCAAATGAATTAATATATTTAATCATTCCATTTTTATATACAAGTATACAACTGACTTAATTAGAGTTATTATTATTATTATTATATGATTATTAGTTAGAGGCATTATTACATAATATAAATATTTTATAGTACATATACTAGGTGGATTTCCCGCACAATGCGCGGGCGCTGGGTAGCAGGCGGTAACTCTGGCGAAGTTTGGTTTTCAGTTTGTGGACATGTGGTCAGATGCTTTGATGGATAATTTTAGAATTTTAGTTAAATAGAGTATTTCTAACTCTATGGTAAAAATTCAAGAGTAAAATCGATGTGATTTTTATCTTTATCACTAAATTTATCTAAAAATATCTAAATGTATATGTTATGAGTATATACATTTTTATACATTAGATAAGTTTTTTTCAGGTTAAGTGGTGGAAATATCATTTAATTCAATAATTTAGTTGAGTTTTAATTTTAATTCAAAACTTTTATTGGAGTTTAATTCTTAAAAAAAATCAATTTTTTTAATTCACTAATTTGGGAATTTGTTGAAGCACTGAGATGAAGTCGGAATCCTAGCAATAGTAGAAGGACCAAGTGGTTCTTATATATATGAAGCAAAAGAATATATAAAGGATAAAGGATGTGTATATATGTATAATTATTATATATATTAATTAATATATGTATGTATCTATATATATATATTGTATATATTTTTATATGTGTACAATTATGATATATATGTTTTATTGTATTTTACTTGTATATATTAGTATTATATCTATATATATTTGTACATTTATGTAATATATGTGTATATGGAAATATGTGTATATATGTATAATTATTATATATATATTTATTAGTGTGTATTACTGTTATATATATGTATATATTATATATATTTATTACATATATTATTGTTATATATATGTGCATATTATTAATTGTTATATTACTGTATATATGTATTTATATGAAGGATGTATTAGTATTATATGTATATATATGTATATATCTGTATATATGTAAGTATTTGTATATATCTACAATTATGATATGTATGTATTATTGTATAGTACTTATAGATATTTGTATATATATTAGTATAATATGTGTATATATTTGTATACATATGTGATATATTTGTATATACATATGTGATATACTTATTTATGTATATTAATTATTACATATGTATATATCTATATATGTATGTATATATTTGTATATATGTGCAATTATGATATATATGTTTTATTGTATATTACTTGTAGATATGTGTATATATATTAGTATTATATCTATATATATTTGTATATATATATGTAGTATATATGTATAGGATATATTCGTATACATGTATAATTGTTATGTATATTTATTAGTGTATATTACTGTTATATATATATTATATATTATATAGATTTATTGCTGTATATTACTGTTATATATACCAGAAAGTTCTTGTGTCTTGAAGTTACCTAAATGTATGGTGTATTGACGTGTGCATGGTAGCTATTTGTTTGCACGTGTAGCTAGTATCAGACGGTAATTTTTGGGTGAAAGAACAGTAAGAAGTACAGAAAATTCACGTGTGCCTAGTAGTGTTTCTTGGTTATATACTTGAATGTCCGATAGGGGTAAGAAGTGTGTGTTTGGTACTTGTCTGAAAATAGTTAACGTTTGGAGATGGCGGGTGGAAGTGCGAGATTTCCTACTGTTCAATTGTATTATCCAGAGGTGGATGAAGAGGTGAATCAACTGGCTATTGTTCGTGGAGCAGCTTATCCTATGGGAAATGGGTGTCAAAATCGTCCAGCTAAACTTGTTGTGTGAGCTCAGGTGGCAAATGTTTTGCTGAAAAATGAGGTATGTAATTTGTTCAAAGAATTTTATAGGCATAATGATTGGGCTTCGGTTTTGGAGGCTGCGTTTAGGACTAGAAGGGGCTATCCGATCTTGAGGTTGATTGCTAGTAGAATGAGGTTGGAGGTGTTAGAAGAAAGGTATTACTTTCCCAGTCCGCTATCTTCTAGTGACTTCGGTGGCGACACTGATTAAAGATTTTGGTTTTGCCAAGATCTGTTTGTTAGTTTGGGTATTGTTTGTTTCTAGTGTATGCTTTTTGGCGTATGGTGCTTAGCCATTAAGATGTGTTTGTCAGTTTTTGAAGGATATGGTGATCTTGTATTTGCTACATAAAGTAGCATCATATGTATTTTTATCTGCTATATAAAGTACTGGAGTTTTTATTTGTATATTTGTGGTACGATGGTATCCAATGAAAATTTGTAAAAAAGTTTAAGATTGGGGATGTATTAGTTTTCGATTGATCAAAATTCATGCGAATGTAGGCTATAGTTTTTGGGAAGCAAAACTTGTTAGCAGAACCAAAACTTGCAGACTGAAGGTGTTTAGAAATTTGTATCTTGAAACGTATGAATGTGTTTAAAAATTTAAATGTGGATTAAATGCATAATAAAATGAAGGATATTTGTGCAATATCTTTATATGTTCCATGTTATGTTTGAGATTTGGAACCACTGAACAATGAATTATTGTGCAATGAAAGTTTGTAGGAAATTCGAAATTGAATGGGAGTTGAATCTGTAGTTTTTGACAAGAATCCAATGTTGTGATGGATGAGAGACAAAATACATGAAGGTGTATAAAAATTCAAAAGCTGATTGAATAGATAATGAAATGAAAAAGATTTATTTGATATTTTGTACTATTTCGTGTCATATATGACATTTTTGAATGAGTCAACAATGAATAGTTGTAGCAAATTTGGGATAAACATTGATAGACTAAACAGAGTGGTGTGTTTGAAGATAATATAGTGTACCAACAATTTTATAGATGTAGGAGCAATATGATCAGCCAAATTGATGTTGGACGAGTTGACATCTGTTTTTGAGCAGTGATTCTTTTTATTTTGGTTTGGAGAAAGAGTAAGAGAATTCCCGTGTGTACAGGAGATTTTTGTCTGGCACATATCTTTTTGTCAGTATTGTTTAGTTCACATGTGTATACTATTATTCTGTTTTTTGTATATGTTTGTTTTTGCTTTATGATGTACTTGGTGTGTATAAATTCATTAGTTCTGTGATTTGGTTATTTAGTTGCTGTATTCTTATAGATTTTTGTATGGTTTATTAGTAATTTATTTCTGCTTCTTTGTGAGCTGAAGATGGATTATATTCAGAATCGTATTGCAGTATTGCATGATTTTCATCCAGATGTTGAGGTTATGCTGAATCGAGTATCACTAAGTGGTGTGTTGGGAAACTTAACTGGACATAATAGAGATAATGGGAAGTTGAGTGGTGCAGATCGACTTCTAGCGAATAATATTTTACTTAGGAATGAAATATATGACTTGTTTAAATCTTTTTATCAACATCTAGAGAAAGCTCGTGTACTGGAAAGTGCATTAGGAGATATTGGACAGCTTCCATTTATTCAAATCATTGCTCGTTGTACGGAAGTAGAAGTTGAAGAACAAAGGAAAGCAATTCAAAGCCCAATGAGTGGCTTTTCTGATGCGTCTGGGAGAAATTTGTAGGGCGTTGCTATGTTTGTTTTCATTGGTTTGTATGATTTATATAGTGGAATTGTTTCGAGATGTGGTCTAGTTTGTTATATGTATAAGTTTGTGTTTAGATTTTGTGTTGAGGAAGTTTGATTGCATGAACTTCATAGGTAGTGGAAATGTATTTGTGTTTGATCGTTTGTTAATGTTGGGTTTGATTGCAGTTTGTTGTGTGTGTGTGTGTGTTTTTTTTTAAATCAAGGTAAAAGGAATAAACTATTGTAAAGTTGAAATGGATTTGCAGGCATGAAGGAATAAGTTGTTGTAAAGTTGCACAAAATCAAACAAAGGCAGTGAAGGGAAAATAGTTGCAATAACTGTACATATAACTCTGGTCTATTTTTACTTCACGAAGCTCAGCTAACTATCTTGAAGCAAAAGTGCATCAAAAGTTTAGCAACTATACAAACCATAAAGAGTAGTAAAGGTTCAGGAACGAAAAGTTAAGGAATAGAAAGCTGAGCAGCCAAAGTTTAGGGATCAAAAGTTGTGGAATAGCAGTAGAAGTCCAAAAATATCTGCTAACAAAAAGTATTATATGGTACTTTCAATCTTCCTTTTCAAACTTTTCGGTATGTTGCTTTTTAGTTGGGTTCTCTGTGATTTTCAGAGTTGAGAGCAAACTGCCATGCACATTTGTGTCTTTTGGAGTAGTAGTGAGTGGAGTTTCATTGGTCTGTGGAGTGGTGATTGGAGCTTCTGTGCTCGACTCTGTGTAAGCAATGGTGGAAGGAACTTGTGATAAAATCTTTGTCGGGGGGTTTTGTGTAGGATAATGGCTGAGTATTTCTCAGAACTTGTGGATGCATGGGTGTTTATCATTTTCTTCACAAAGCATGTTATCACGGTACTGTTAATGGCTTCATAGTTCAGTTCATGCTGTAGAAGTAAGATAAACAGATTTGCATTAAACATAGTACAATTGGTTCTTACTCAGAGTATTCTGAATACATATGAAAGGGGGATTTGTTACCTTGTTTTCTAAGTCCTATATCTCTAATAGGGTGAAAGGTAGTAATTGAAGAGCATCGTTGTCATAAAGATCAAGCGTTAAAACTCCAGAATAATCAGCAAGTTCTAAAGTTAATCGGCATCTTGGAGCAATATTCACTTGTTTGTTGCATGAAGTGCAAACAATTTTCCAGACAGGCTTTCCTCTGAACGATTTATGGCATTGTGGACAAGCATTATACCATAATCGTTCGTTCTTGTCTAGTAATCTTGGAGTACCATGCAACCAGTAGGCTTTTTTCTGTATTAAAGTCATTATTGTTCAAGTTACATTGATAGCTAAATTGAGATGTAGATTATTCAACATGTTTAAGAAGATGATGAAAAGGCTGAAATAAAAAGGAACCAAAATAAGAGTCAGTGGGTGACTTACATGTACAAGAGGTCAAGAACAGGGAACCAAATGATAAACGTGGGGATTTTCTAGAGCATAAAAAAGAAAACATATTTTCTAGAGCACAAAAAAGAAAGTATATCTGTGAAATGTTGTTGGTAATAAAGGATGAGAAATAGAATTTACCGTAGGAAATGCAAGAAAGTCTTGAATAGTGGTTAGCTCATCATCTCTTAGTTGTTGCAGAAGCTTAGCTCGATTGTGGTATGCTTTTTCTGTTATCAGTTTCTTGATTTCTGCTTGAGTCTCAGTAGCCCTTGCGAGTCAAGATAAAAGTTTTATTAGTAAGGCTTACAATATATTTAATAAAAAATATTTTCGAATGATTACTTATCAGAAGGATTAGTACCACTGTTTGAGATCAACAACTTGTTGTATTGGAGGATTAAGGAGAATGCTTGATCCAAATTTTGTTGAGAGGTTTAGTGTTGCAATATTTATGTGTTGTAAGGTACATAGTATTATGAATACATACTAACTCAGAAAATATGTGGAGGATGAGAAATTTGTTATGTACTTGCTGTGATATGATGATACTTTAATTCGAAGTGCAACAATCAGTGGCATTGTGTCAATGACATTTGCAATCGCTTGGCCTTCATCTGTTTCATGCTCACCCCAAAGAGTCAGAATCACAGGCATCATGCTGCATTGTGTTTTATTGATGAGTGAAACTTCGTTAGAAGAGGATATTTTCATCAATCTGTAATGGTTTAGAGTTGATATAGAATAAATGGATGGTTTTACATACCTTTTATCTATAATCACCACTTCTCTGGTAGCAGTAGTAGCTCTCTATATCCGAGGATGAACTTCAGCAACAATACCTAAGACATCTGATTTTGAAATGTGCTAAGTCATAACTCTTATGAAAATTACATATATTACCAGTTCGGCACATGCAGTTCTGAGTTACCTATATCTGTATTATCATCTATGTGCTGGTGGAATTTTCTAAAGGATGAGAATCTGAACACAACTAGAATCTGAGGTGGCTAAACTTTATCTATTGTTTGAACAACAGTAGAATTGTCTATGTACCATGTACACTGATTTGGATGAGTACGATACTCTGATAGTGTGTATTCAACTCTAGCGTTGCAGAGAATGTATCATTTGTAGAGTTGGAAATAGTTTCTGAAGAAGTCGATGTCTGATTTATAAATCATCGCTTCAATTGTTGTGCCCTGATAACAATTATAGTTATGTTGATTTGAATATAAAGGTTGAGTAACAAAGCATATAGAGTGGAATTTAGAATTTGCATTACGTGTTGGTCAATTAATATCAGCTTCGAATATTGGTTCCCTGCTTTTGAGAGTAATGCCTTTTGCTTGTCCAGAACCTGAACCACAGTTGTCCGGTTTTGTAGTCCAGGGATTATCTCGGTGAATGGAATCATGTTTTTTTCCTTCTGTGACTTGTAATAAGAATACATAAGTACTGAATGATGACCATAAGAGATATACAGTTATGAACATAGATAAATAAGTCATATGCACATGCTTAGAGCAGTTACTGATAAGCTAGATCTAGTACTTCTATATATACTATATTTTCAGTAATCAAGTCTTGTTGGTCATCAAATATGGATGGTTTAATAAGAATTTTGATAGAACTACTGTTCTTAGCTCTTGACATTGCTACATATAGCTGTCCATGTGAAAAGACTGGTTCACGCAAATATATGCCAACAAAATCAAATGTTTGTCCCTAAGCTTTATTTATTGTCATAGCAAAATATGGTTGAATAGGAAATTGAATGTGTTCAAATGATACTGGTGAGTCTGAATTGTTCTCTGCTCTGAAACAAATTCTGTGGATGAAGACCTCTTTTCCAGCAAATTCACCACATGTTATAACGGCATGTATGATATTTGAGCTCAAGGATTTGCATATGAGTCTAGTGCCGTTGCATAATCCCTGAGGCGCATCAATGTTTCTCAGTAACATGATAGGACAGTATGGTTTAACAAGTAGCTTATGGGGCAGGAAACCATTTGGAGTCAAACTGTTTAGCAAGTCCTCTATGATTGTCTGCTCAGAATTGTCGATACACTTGTTTCGACTGATATATTCTTGCAGTTGTCCTTCTAAGTGTACAATGAGCCTCTCATTAATTTCATCGACATAGTCATTTTTTGTCGTGAGTATAGCACGGTTAACTGCAGATAAATTTTCCTGAGAAAAAGCTTTCAAATCTGGAAACACCATCCTGATCAGTGCAATCATTGATTCTTCCTCATTTGTATATCTTATTAGCATCGATGGAGGTATCTGGATAGAATTGTTGAAGATAACTGGTTCTGTTATATTTCCAATGCGAAGTAGATATTGAGTGAACTCTGGATCATGTCTTGCTCTCATGTTTTGAGTCAGATGTAACTTATGTAGCTGTGGCCATATGTATGAATTGACTATGCTTGCATCAATAAATTCAGATTTTGATCCCTTTGTTACCACTGGCAAGACTTGACGGAAATCGCCTCCAAAAACAATGACCTTTGATCCAAACAGATCGTTTGAGTCCATTATATCCCTCAGAAGTTTGTCAACACTTTCAATTGAGGCCTTATGCACCATTGGAGTTTCATCCCAGATAATCAGAATTGCAGATTCAAGGAGGTTTGCTAATGAGCTTTGTTTACTAACTCTACATTACTTATCTGCTGTTCCACCAATTGGTATATTGAATCTTGAGTGAGCTATTCTTCCAACTGGTAGAATGGAAGCCGCAACTCCACAGGATGCTATAGCAAGAGCTATACACCCTTTAGACCTGATTTCTGCTAGTAGTGCTCGATAGAGAAATGTTGTTCCTGTTCCACCTGGTCCATCAATGAAGAAGGTTCCTTTCTTGTGAACAAAAACTGCATTCATGATAATGTCAAAATCTTTTTTCTGATCAGCATTTAGTTGTTTAATTGCTAATAGGTCATGCTCTGGTATAGAGATTCTTGTTTCAGCTATTATATCACGGGTGTTTTTGTTCAAACTGTCAAAATACATGGTATTTGGAACTAAAGCATATTGATTAATGTCTTTTCCCATTGATTGTAGAAACTCATTTATTTGGCATAATACCTGCAAACGAATCTGATCAACTGATATTTCTGGAATTCTACTGATATCTTCAAATAATGGCTCTTGAAATTGCTCCCAAAGATACCTCGGATTTGAAGAAGGAAAATGAACAAGCAGAGTCGCAAATAATATTCTCAAACTATATGGCATGTGATTCGAACTTGCTTCTTCGAGGCATTGTTCTTTGTGACTTATCAGACTCAAAGTAACCTCTCAGAATTGCTGCCTCACGAAAAGTATGTACATATGCTTCATTTATTGTTTTCAAATCATCAAATGACGTTGGACTGTTGACATCTGTGAGAAGCAATCTGAGGAAGTATCGCTCTCCTTCCATTGGACTTGCTGTCACTATCCCGCCTATAGAATCTTTCTGTTTTCTTGGCTCCCATTTTCTCTTTCCTGGATGCCAGACAAAATGTTCAAGGAACTCTTTCTAAGTGCATTTGAGGTTCTGAGCTAGAGAATCAGTAGAATTCATGTAAAAGAATTCTATTAACATGATTCTCTTAGCAAATCTGTTTCTTACTACATTGCGTAAGTCTTGATCTTCTCTGAAGTTTAATGGCTGACAATTTTCTAAATGAAGTTGTAGGTGAATAACAGAAGGATGCATTTCAAATAGCAAGAATCTGTATATCCTCTATATACCTTCGACAGCGCATACCTACCTAACTGACTGATAGTCTTTGATTTCATCAATTGTAGATAGATAACCATTAGAATTTGAGCCATTAGAATTGTCTGAATTCACTCGAAAATGGATCTTGTCATGACCTTTGTAGATGTACTTGTATATGTACTTCACTGCCTTTCCTGTGAAGCAGATTTTGACATTTATATGGCAGTTGAATTTTGTGAGAAGGTAAGGGTTGTATGGAACAACCCATCTGTTATCCACCTCATGTCCACGAACCATCATTTTGCATCCATTGTTCCTTCTTTGATAAGTGGGGTATGCATTATCTCCATGAAAGGTTTTATCAGCAAATGGCTTCGAATAGCTGTTTCTGCATTTTTTCTTATGTTCCCCTTGCATACAGATATTGTTTGGATTTTTTTCCCATAGGGACCATGAATCATATGTCTGCGAACCATGTTGAAAAGATGTCGATTTTTTGTCTCATTTGGAATCTTTGCACTAACTATTTTGTCATAAGAATCTGTGGAGTAAAGTTTTGAACATGGCTTCAAGGTTATGAGGAAATGGGCATGAGGCAGATCGCGTTTTTGGAACTCAATCACATAGGTGTAAGCAGCAACAGATCCAAATATCTCTTTTTTGAATAATTCTTGCTTCAATACATCAAGTTTTGCATGGAAGACTCGAGTTTTGCATGTGTGCTTCATCTGTTGGCAGCATATGATCCTTTATTTCTGGCCATGAAGGATTACAAGTGATCATAATGAATAAATCTGGTTTACCAAATTTCTGTACCAAAGCCATAGCGTCAACATATCTCTTTTTCATGTCACGGGGGCCTCCTATAAATGAAGCTGGAAGCACCACTCGCTGGCCTATCTTTGAACCTTGGTATTGACCTGCTATGACGCTATCCATAACACCTTGTAGCTGCTCTCTTCTTATAAATTCTTGTTTGCTCTTATAGTAATCTAGTCTTTGGCTTTCGATTTTTATGTACATATCAACAACATACTGCTGAAGTAATCTTCCAGTATTCAATATATTTGGGCAATATTTATCTCTCATTTGCAATTTATAAGCATAATATTCTCGCATTGACACAGATTCGCTATTGTTTTCAGGATCATTGCAGGCTGAAAGTTACATAAATAAGCTATAAGTTATTCATTCCATTGCATGAAACTGAATACATTCAGAAAATATAAGTAGTTTGTGTTCTGTATATAACCAATGGAAGTAGTGTGTTATGCATATAAGCAAGTGGACATGTGTAATTATATCAGTAATGCATAACTAATGTATATAGGTAATGTATAAGTCATTTGCATATGATTAATGTATAAGTCATTGAAGGGCAGAACTACCTTGTTCTTCAGCAGATATCATTTCTTGAGCAGATTTGTAATTGGCTAGAATAGCAGTAGATTTAGTTTTCCCAATGCATCTTTTTCTCTTTTTTGGATTGTCTGTGGTTACTCTTCTGATGCCAGGATGCCAGCCTGTTTCACCAAGTGGAAATAATAGTGGATACTGCAGAGGATCGTAATAGCCATAATAATATTGCACCAGGTGATCCCTTCCTTCTTTTGTATAAATTTGGATGTGTCTAGCATAACTTGATTCTGAATTTTGTCCTCCTGTCCAAAGAGCTGCAACTTGAGAGGCTGTTGGGTGATTGAATACTCGTGATCATTTTCTGAATGTGATTTGAGCACTATCTGATATGAATCTAAATTTGGAACATTTCTGAGGCTTCGCAGAAAGCATGCGTATGGATTAGACTTCATCAGTTCCATGATCCTCATTACTATACTTTCTGTTAATCTTTCGGAAATTGCCATTCTATTTTCAAGCTCATGGTTTGTATCATGAAAATAGAGCTGTAGATATAATCCACATCCTCCATGCGGAATAAGGTCTTTGATGAAATGATAGGTCTGTCCCTGAACTTTGAATGTATAGATACCATTTGTTCTCTTGCAAAGCGATTTATCATAGTGTACACCAAAAGAAGTAAAAGCAAACATATTATTATTTGTTCTCACATATGTGCGGAAGGACAAAGCTTCATCAGAGTAACCAGTAAATAATTCCACAAGAATATCTGGAAGCTTATTTTCATGTAGAACTACTTGTCTGTCAGAGCAACAGAAATTAGGTGTCTCAGAGTGCATCATTTTTGCTCCACAGTATTGATAATCAGGTTTGGTAGGTAATCTATCTGCATTCTCATTAATAAACTACAGTGCATGAACTCCATCAACAACTTGATTACCTGTAAAATTACCAATTACTTGAGTGAAACTAAACCTTGAGAGTCAAAATAACTATGTAGAAGAGCAACAAGAAATGGTTTGTAATGTAGACCTCTTTTTTTTTCTCTTTCTGTTACTGTTGTCTTTCATTTGTTTCATTGGTGAATGTCTTCTGCTTGAATAATTCAATTATATATAATTACAAGTACAAGTGAAAAGGTTTATATACATACTTGTAGGAACATGATGAAGGTATTTAGATAAATAGAAGTGATTTCAGATTATATAATAGAACTATTAGTTATGCATGTCAGGCTGATCTTTTGAATGAGTCAGATATGCTGATATTAGGGCTTTGGAAAGCTACCAGAAGAAATGAGTTCTAATAGCATTGAATATATGTGAGTGGTAATGATGAATATCATTTGGATCATTGAACTGAAGTATTTTCATTCATAGCGGAAGCAATTAAAAAGTTTAATGTGTTTGGATGAAACATTTAAAGGCTGTATAAGTATGATAGGTACAATCAACATAATTTTTGGATGCCTGCTGATGATCACTGGTCAGGTTGAAGGTAGCAACCTCCACTTGTCCTTGTTCTAGCAAAGTCAGTGTCCGGAAGCTAATACACTTGGTATGTTGGAAGGATGGCTGACAAATCTATTAAAGATAAAGTTGATCAAATGGTTACAAATAATGATATCAAGACTTTTTTTAAAAAGTTGGAAGAACATTTATCACCTGAAGCCTCTTCAGCAATTTCTGTCAAGAATTTGTAGCAGTTCATACATATGAATGATTTATCTGATAATCAAAGAAGGTAACTAATGTGAGTGTTGATCATAATGTTGATGGTTATATATAATGAACGCCAATCAATAATGGATTTTGAAGCCTAAATGACCTGCACTCTGTGTCAAAGTTAGGCACGTATGTTTTGTCTCAGAGTTAGATGTAGATCTTGCATTTAAAAATTGGAAATAGATCATTGTATAAATAGAATAATGCTTATAATTTGAGTATAAACAATACATTGGAAATGAATTATGTAATCTACCTTTTCTCATAGCTTGAGAATAAAGAAATCTGTTCCTTTGACTTTTTACTCGATTCTGTATAACATAGTTCAGCACTATTGTTTGCAGATTCAGAAATTCGAATAGCACATTTTCGAGTACCTATCAAAATCAATGATCAGGATAAGAATGATTGAAAAGTGTAAGTGATCAGAATGTAGTAGGCTAAATAGAAATAGTACCTCTGCAGTGTTCTGTAAAATGAGAGGATGACAACTGATTGGTGGAACCAACTACGAATGATTCAGAAAAAATGTGAGTTGACTATACGTAGATATGTTGCTTATAGAAAAATAAATAGTATGGCTAACCTTGATTACAATCAATAATTCGATCAACGTTCTCCTTATCTTTCAAAGTTTGAGAAGCAGTTACTCTGCTAACTTTATCATTCAAACGTAAACATGAACCACGTAAGGGAAATAGTGAATGCGGAACACACAAATGATGAAAATATAATAAAAGTCTTGGAATTAGCATGTACCATGAGAACATTGTTTAGCAGCAAGGGTACGCATTATAGATGCAGAAGCTGGTGATTTGCAAGCCTGTTGAAATTGCTTTGGGAAAGACTTGCAAAGCATTTTTTCCAATTTTTTCCTATGATAGGCTTCTCTTTTTTTTTTTTTTCCGACAAGCTTCTTTTTCTTCAGGCGAAAGGGCAGCAAATTTCTCTTTCGTTTTACAATTTCGATTATCCTTTTTCTCACGAAGTTTATCAGGATCATTCCTTACGAACAGCTTAGAGCAGCTCATATTTGTTATACACAGAGACCAAGCAGAAAAAAAGACATAGGAAGAAATATCTAGGTGTATGCACAGATATATATTCTTTGTATATATGTATGTAAACAGCTATATATATATTGATGCCTAAGAAACAAACTGTCTATGTAAAAAACAGGAAGGTAATGAATGCATAAGTAGAAAGCAGTTAAAGCAAGCAGAAACAGCACAAGACCTTTTTCCTTCATTTTACAATTTCGGTTATCCTTTTTCTCACGAAGTTTATCAGGATCATTCCTTACGAACAGCTTAGAGCAGCTCATATTTGTTATACACAGAGACCAAGCAGAAAAAAAGACATAGGAAGAAATATCTAGGTGTATGCACAAATATATATTCTTTGTCTATATGTATGTAAACAGCTATATATATATATATATATATTGATGCCTAAGAAACAAACTGTCTACGTAAAAAACAGGAAGGTAATGAATGCATAAGTAGAAAGCAATTAAAGCAAGCAGAAACATCACAAGACCTCCAAGAAGACAGGAAATCACTGCTGATCTGAAAAAGTTGATGAAAGATTTAGCTGAAACACCTGAGGAAAGATCACATCAAACAAGTATACATACTACTATCAAAGAAATCAACAGCTGATCTGAAGTAAATTTGGCTGAGGATAAAAGAATACTTGATGTCAAGCAGGTAGTCAAATGCAGTGAAATTTGCTTGTAAACTAGTTCTGTAGATGTAGCAAACTATTTGAATGAATCTGTCCTACCTTTATATTGTAGCTCCATCAGTAAAAAAACAAGAAATATGGAAAACTAAGACAAAGGAAATCGAAATGACAAAAATAGCGAACCTTGGGAGCACAACAGGCCAGAAAATAAGCATCTAAATGGCCAAAAGAGTAAAAACCAAAAGTAGTGGTAGACAAGTGATTTAACCTTCCAGCTAGATGATTTAACTCCTTGGTCAAAATTCAAGAGTAAAATCTATGTGATCTTTATCTTCATCACAAAATCTATCTAAAAATCTCATAACTCATTATATATATATATATATATATATACATCTTTATATATTATAAATCTAACATTTCTAAATCTATGACTTCCAAATTATTATGTTTACCATAATTCTTGATTTTTTTCATGATTGTTAGGTCTATGAATTGTTACCATAAATGATGAAAACATCATTTAATTCAATAATTGAGTTGAAGTTTATTTTTTATCTCTCACAAAAGTTTATTTTAATCTTAATTTAGAATTTAAATTGGAGTTTAATTCTCCATCTTTTAATTCAGAATTGGAGTTTAATTGGAGTTTTAAATATATATATACATCTTTCTATATTATAAATCTAACATTTCTAAATCTATGACTTCCAAATTATTATGTTTACCATAATTCTTCATTTTTTTTTTCATGATTGTTAGGTCTATGACCGTAAATGATAAAAATATCATTTAATTCAATAATTGAGTTGAAGTTTATTTTTGATCTCTCGCAAAAGTTTAATTTTAATCTTAATTTAGAATTTTAATTGGAGTTTAATTCTCCATCTTTTAATTCAGAATTGGAGTTTAATTGGAGTTTTAATTGGAGTTTTAATTCTACATTCTTGATTTAACTCCATCTTTTGATTGGAGTTGAGTTTTAATTTTAATTAAAAAATCTAATATTTCTAAATCTATGAGTTGCGGTTATTATGTCTACCATAATTCTTCTTTTTTTTTTTTGATGATTGTTAGGTCTATCATCATATAATTCAATAATTTAGTTGAACTTTATTTTTATTTTTCATTCCAGAGTTTACTTGGAGTTTAATTCAGGAACATCCATTATCATTTAATTTAACTAAAGTTAATTTCAAGAGGAGATATATTTTTTTCTTCCCCATCCACACAACTATACATACAATTAATGTGGGGTCCATGGTCCACAAGGAAGAAAGCAGAAATCTCCAACGTATATATGTGATGAGATGATGAAGGAGCCTGAACCACAATGAAAAGCAGAATGTTGCAGTGGAGTGTTAAAGTGGACATATCTTTATATATCTTCCAAAAATTATTATGTCAACCATAATTCTTGATTTTTTTTCATGACTGTTAGGTCTATGACCTTAAATAATGAAAAAATATCATTTAATTCAATAATTCAGTTGAATTTTATTTTTGATCTTTCCCAAAAGTTTAATTTTAATTTTAATTCAGAAGTTTAATTGGAGTTTAATTATCCACCTTTTAATTCAGAATTGGGAATTGGAGTTTTAATTCTCCATTCTTGATTTAACTCGATGTTTTGATTGGCGTTGAATTTTCATTTTAATTCAAAAATCTAATATTTCATATATCTTCCAATTTATTATGTCAACCATAATTCTTGATTTTTTTTTCATAATAATGAAAATATCATTTAATTCAATAATTCAGTTGAATTTTATTTTTGATCTTTCCCAAAAGTTTAATTTTAATTTTAATTCACAAGTTTAATTGGAGTTATTGGAGTTTTAATTCTCCATTCTTGATTTAACTCCATCTTTTGATTGGAGTTGAATTTTAATTTTAATTCAAAAATCTAATATTTCTAAGTCTACTTCATTTCTTTTTTAGTTGAAGCTTATTTTTATTTTTCATTCAAGAGTTTAACTGGAGTTTAATTCTTTTGCGAATATGCATTATCAATTAATTTAACTCAAGTTAATTTCAAGAGGAGATATACTTTTTTCTTCCCTATCCATACAACCATACGTGCAATCAACGTGCGGTCCACGGTCCACGGTCCACAATGAGAGGCAGAATGTTAAAGTGGGCTCCACAGTCCAAAAGCAATAAACCAAGAGTGCAACGTACAAAGCACAACCATCACAAAGTGCACTCGAACGTACAACATCCTCAAGCACGGAGCTGCACTCGGAATCCCCGCAACAGTAAAAGGGCAAAGTGCTTCTTATATATATAAAGGAAAAGGATATACACACACTATAAATGAATTTGAAATCAAAATAGGTAGCTGATTTTCTACTTCTGAATTGTGAATTCAAAATTAAAAATTCCAATTTAAAAAAATAAACCTTGAATTCCTTTCCGTTTTCCATTTTTTCAATTTCAAATTTTTGAATTCAATTCGGTCATAAATCGGTTTTTTTTTTTTTTCCGAATTTGCACGCCCTGTTGAAGACTTGAAGTAGCTCATTTGATTCTTTCACGCGGCCCAGTTTTGATAATTTGTTTTATGTAGAAACAATTCGAAAGTACTAGATATTGCATTAGTCCTACTCCTACAGCATGATACTTTTTCAATTAAGACTAGATATTGAATCGTTTCACGTGGTCCTGGAAGGCTATTGGTCCTACAGCATAATACTTTTTCAACAAAGACGTGTAGTACTTTTTTAACAAAGACGCGTACATTTCATTGACTCCACAGCTTTTGGTCACTCCATTGGAAGCAACAAGGTTCATCTTCTTTTCAATCATTCCAGGGCTCTCGCTTGCCCTTTCTTTGTCTCTCTCTCTCTCTCTGTACAGTTGGCGTGCAAGTTATTCTAAGTTGTGTATTTTTCATCCGGAGATATATGATGGCTTCTGTTATTCCCACTTTCCTTCCAGTGGTATATGATAGTAAAGCAGAGTTTCTGAATTTCTTTCGTGACACAGTCTGCCAAGCAGATGTTGAACTCTTCAAAAAACTCAAGATGAATTTCGTGGTAGCTGCAGCACTACTTGATGATGCAGATATCAAGCAAACAAGGAACCCATCTGTCAAGCAATGGCTTGAAGAGCTTCGTGATACTGTTTACGAAGCAGATGGCTTACTCAATGAGATCAATACGGAAGCTCTGCGAGTTAAGGAGGAAAATGTGTGCCAAAGCTCAAGCAGAAACTGGGAGAGTGCTTCCGATTGCATTCCATCTCTGAGTAGTAAGTTCCTTAAAAAGATCATTCCCCAGACAGAGAGAATAGCTGTTAGACTGGAAGCATTTGTAAAACAAATTAATCCCTTGGGTTTTCAAGCTGGGGAGTCGAAGAGACAACCATGTCAACTACCAATACCAACTTCTTCTTTGGTTGATAAGACTGCTATTTATGGGAGAGATAATGACAGAGATAAGATAATACAAATGTTGCTATCTGAGGATGCAAATGGGGATCGCATCGCTGTGATTCCCATATTTGGACTAGGCGGAATTGGCAAAACCACCTTGGCTCAATTGGTTTACAATGACCAGAGGGTGAAGGACAATTTTTCTACCACGGCATGGGTTTACGTATCAGAAGAATATGATCCTACTAGGATAACAAAGGAACTCCTTAGGGAACTCAACATTTCATTTTCCGACTCCCGTGAGAATTTAAATTCCCTCCAGGTGAAGTTAAAAGTTGGTCTTACCGGTAAAAAGTTTCTTCTTGTTCTAGATGATGTTTGGGTTAGTGACTACAATCAATGGGGTAATTTACGGATTGCTTTCGAAGGTGGATTACGGGGTAGCAGAATCATTCTTACAACAAGGAATCTGTACGTTGCAAGAATGATGGGCAGAGAGAAGTCAATTCATCATATGAATTTAATATCAGAGGATGATTGTTGGTCCTTATTTGTGAAGCATGCCTTTGAGAATAGAGATGGCAGTCAAGCCTTGGAATTTGAAGAAATAGGAAAGAAAATTGTGAAAAAGTGTGGAGGGCTGCCTTTGGCTGTGAAAACAGTTGCCGGTCTCTTACGTTCCAAAACAACCAGTGAAGAGTGGGAAGACATTTTTATGAGTGAAGACTGGTCTCTGACAAGTAATCAAATGATACCACCATTGAGCTACAATGATCCACCGGAATGACGCAGGAACTCAAAGATGTCAATAGGCAACTGGACATAACATTTTGGTATTTCAATAACTCTCTCCAGGTGAAATTACTACTTCCCTCTATTTTCCGTTTCATTGTTTTTGTTTAATAATAAAAATAACAATAATAGCAACAGTAATAATAATGACAACAGCAACAATGTTAACAACTCATTACTGACTGCACTCCTTGTGTTTTCACAATTTGGTTTACCTGAAACTTGTGCTGCATCCTTACAGTATAATTGCCAAATAATTGACTTTGTAGATTGTACTTAGTTGATTGCCATGTGTATTCTTTAGGAGAAGTATCTTACTAATTTTGTTGTCAACTTTTCAACCTTATTTAATACCAATTAAATTTTTCTAATTTATACAAATCTTTTCCTACTTGTTGCTATAAAATGATATTATCGCTTAACTTTTCTTCAAATCCCAACTTAAAATCCTATTTGTTGGGTTTTTCTACGCAATATATATGAAAGGTAAATCAAAATTTTAATACGTAGATCAAAGGTGAATTTAAAATGAATAAAATAAAAAAACTATGCGCTCTTTTTTATTTTGCGAAGGGCTATAGCAACTGTTATACTTTGTGTGTCTGATACCTACATTATTTTGGTCAAAAAAATGTTAGATAATTTTCTCTAAAAAAAAATAAATAAACAGTTTGCAATAACAGAATGCAAATATTACATTAGTCTAGCACAAACTCTTGTGCTATATCAAAAGAAAATTATTTTTAATTACATGACATTTTTTTAATTTGATGAACAAAACTAAGATTAGCAATATGAATATGTGATCAATTAAAGAGTTAACCAAATTTTTTCTCATATACAATATAGATAAATTCAAACTCCTTATTGACCAAGTTGCTATAGGTATTAAAAAGCAAAACTTTGTCTTTTGTTGTTCAGCAAGAAAGATAATGAAAATTACACTACTGTTTCTTGTAATTGTTTTATAAAATTTACAAGGAGGAGTCTTTGTATGAATTTGTAGATTTTTCACTCTTAGTCGTCACAAAAAAAAAAAAAAAACAATAGACTTATTCCACAACAAAGTGAATGACGGATGATAAGCTAAGAATTTGAGTTGCAAAAAAAGTAGGAAGAGATTTGTGTTAAAGTTGGAAAACTTCATTAGTTTTAACTATGGCTAAGAGTCATAATTTAAATTTAATAATACTCAACCATCTAAATGTGTATCGAGGATTACTCGGTATAAACTGTACTAAACTGCAGCCTATCACATACATGTTAATTTCTTTGAGCTTGGCTTCGAACGCACATAAAGGAAACCTTTCTCATTTTTATGTGGAATGAGTTTTGATCATCTAAAGAAGGGAGTTGGATCGCGCATCAAAGGGATTGAATCAATCTTCAAAGCTGCATCTTCGAAGAATTTGTGTGCGAATCCTTTCCTTAGCCCCACTGTTGAGATATGCCAATTTTTCCTACAGATTTTATCAGATTGAGTTTGATATCAAAATAATTTAGTTATTAGAAAAATAAGGATATTTGTTAACCAAAGATCATGTTAGTTTGTTAACAAATATTTTAGCTAAGATTTGCTAGTAGAAGAAGATTATATTTTGTTGCGATTTTTAGGATAATTGTTAGTTGATATTTTGCTAGTTTGTTTCATATAATTACTATAAATAGTGAGCTGATGAATGTAGAACATAACCTCATTTTCCAACTTCAATACAAGTCTCTTATAAGCTTTTTTTGCAACACTAAGATGTTGTTTCTTAGTTTATGCTCTCAAAAAACTAACAAAGTGGTATCAAGAGCCTATATCTTAAGGGTCTGAGTGTTTTTTTTGAAAGTGATTATTGATGAGGATCCCTTATAAGTTCAAAATCATGACAAGAAAGAATTTTTTGTCAAATATTTCAACTTTTAGTGGTAAAAGTTACAAAATTTGGGTCATAAAATTTTGGACTTATTTGGTAGTCAATGATCTACGGGATATGGTGGAGACGAATTTTGTTTTACTAGCAATTGAAGAGCTGATGGATATACAAATTAGAGACCGCAGGGTTGTAGTTAGACAGAAATCCAATGCCAGCATTCACATTTCAGTTTTTGATGCCGTTTTCCCAAGGATAATGGCTAATGATTTGATTGAGAATAAATTATTTTCAATTAAAATAAAAAAGAAAAAGTTTCACTATGAATTAGTCAGATTTTGACAATTCTAAAGTGGAACATGATGATGAAATCAAGAATTCAGATCGTGAAAAAATTCAGAAACAGATCATTGATAAATCAAGAGGTATCAAATTGATTCCTGATATTTATCAAGATTATAACATTTCTATTTTTGAGTCTATAGATTTTGATGGTGATGACAAACTGAAGAACCATGCAGAATTTCATATTTTCTGTATAAGTTCAAATATCGTCAAAGGATGTTCCACTTTAAACCTATGAGAAGGTTATTTGGAAACATTAAAAAAAAATCATCTTTATGTGGAGTTTGGCATGAGAAGACAAAAGAAGTGGTTTGTTGTAAGATTAATATTTATTCAGAAGGAAATCATTGATAAGTCAGGAAGTATCAAATTGATTCCTGATATTTATCAAGATTATAACATTTCTATTTTTGAGTCTACAGATTTTGATGGTGATAACAAAATGAAGAATCATGCAGAATTTCATATTTTCTGTATAGGTTCAAATATCGTTAAAGGATGTTCCACTTTAAACCTATGAGAAGGTTATTTGGAAACATTAAAAAAAAAAAATCATCTTTATGTGGAGTTTGGCATGAGAAGACAAAAGAAGTGGTTTGTTGCAAGACTAATATTTAGCTTGCATAAAAACCCAAAGGAAGAAGTTCATTTCAAGGCTAATCATCAATTGCAGAGCTTCTTACAAATGTCTCGTCCAAAATAAGATTCAAAAATTTGAGAAAACAATTGAAAATCTGCAGCAAAAGTGGCAAGGAGGAGTGTTGAGATATGCCAACTTTTCCTACAGATTTTATCAGATTGAGTTTGATATCAAAATAATTTAGTTATTAGAAAAATAAGGATATTTGTTAACCAAAAATCATGTTGGTTTGTTACCAAATATTTTAGCTAAGATTTGCTAGTAGAAGAAGATTATATTCTGTTGAGATTTTTAGGATAATTGTTAGTTGATATTTTGCTAATTTGTTTCATGTAATCACTATAAATAATGAGTTGATGAATGTAGAATATAAGCTCATTTTCCAATTTCAATACAAGTCTTTTATAAGTTTTTTTTGCAACACTAAGGTATTGTTTCTTAGTTTATGCCCTCAAAAAACCAACACCCACAAATCTGTGCTGCAGATTAATCCCGTTGATTGTGTGAGCTTCTGGACACAATCCAATCCAGGAATCCAGGGCCGGGCTAGATATGCGGGCCGGATCCGCGGATGGGCACCTTGGATCCATTCGCGGATCCTAAAGGCTGCCAGACACGATGTTTTATTCATTTTTCGTATTTTCATGTATTTTCTTTTCCTTTTCAGTTTAGAACTTGTTGCCTACAAATAGGACGTAGCTAGAGTTTTATTTTACAGCTTTTGACCTTTTTTTTTTTTTTTTTATCTATTTTTAACAGCATTGTATTTGGATTAATTCCTATTCTTAAGTGCGCTCAAGTGGAAATTCGTGTGGTATCTTGTCTGGGTTCTGATTTGAATCCTATTGTTTTCACTTGAGGGGTTGTCAATCACCCTTGGCTTGCTTGTTTGGACTAATTTGTGTAATTAATCCATTTTCCTATGCTTCTTCTATCGCATAACATTTATTGCAATTCCCTCCCTCGTTTTGTCATTAATCTTTTCACTTTTATCTTTGCCTGGACATGTGGCTCTTGCTTGATTCAGATGCTATTTTCTTTCTGCTTTCCTGCAAGTGCTATTTGATTGGATGACTCCGCTGCATCTCGCCATCATAGGAAATATTGTGTTTCTTTTACTTGAAATTGACAATGTTTTTCTTTCAAGTTCTATTTGATAAAGAGGAGTCGTGGTAATTTGAAATTTCAACATGAATGCAGCAACTGTCCATAGCTGCTAGTGAAGATGATGTTAGTGCCTTATATAGAGTGATTAGCAATAATCCAGACCTTTTGGAATGCATAGATCAGAAACCATTCAACAATACACCATTGCACATTGCTGCAGAAACAGGGCGTACACGCTTTGCCCTTGAAATCATGAGTTTAAAGCCTTCTTTAGGGAGGGTTTTAAACCACGATGGCTTTAGCCCTTTGGATCTAGCTTTACGAAATGGCCACAGAGAAACTGTGAGAAGGCTTGTAAGATTTGCTCCAGAGCTGATCCGTATTCAGGGCAGAGAAAGAATTACTCCTTTGCATTATGCTGCAGAAGTAGAGGAAATTGATTTTTTGGCTGAATTTCTGATGAAATGTCCAGCATCAATCGAGGATGTGACCTTATGCTGCGAGACTGCTCTACACATTGCCGTGAAAAATGGAAAACTTAGAGCTTTTAAAGTGCTCTTTGGTTGGCTAAAGCGAACTAATAATAGGAGAGAAATATTGAACTGGGGGGATGAAGATGGCAATACAGTGTTGCATGTCGCAGCATCGACAAATCAAACTGAGGTACATTTCCTTACATTTTTTTTTCTCTTTCTCATCGACAATAAGATGCATATTTAGACAAACAATTACAAGCACTGTACATGAATGCACAATGCTTGGATTTTGGGGCGGTAACTGCTCATGAAATCAAGTTCTTGGCACATAGTTGCATTTTATCCCAAAATTGGAATCAGATCTCGGTTAGTGTTTATCAGAAAAGAGGCATAGTCATATTTAACCAAAGAAATAGGAATTTGAGATGCCACGACTCCTGAACGTTTACTTTAATGATACCGTAGTTTTGTGGAGATGTGCTACTATATGCAACTATGACATTTTTTTCAAAGGTTAAGACTCGAGATATTAGAGGTCCTGAATACATTTATGGCTGAACTAGAGGCTCCAAAAGTTAGATGTCCTTGGTTTAAATCTCCCATTCTCCCCTCCTCACTTCTTAAATTTCCATGCTAAAAAAAACAAAGATCATATGAGATTTTAGATAGAATGCCGGTGAGTATAATTAACTGGGCTGATCGATAAATAATCCCTCTTACTTGCTTTTCAGGTTGCCAAATTGCTGGTTAAATATGTCAATGTTAACGCAAAGAACCATGAAGGCCTGACAGCCCTTGATATATCCAACACTAAACCTCCAATCCAAGTGAACGCAAGGATGAAGAAGATTTTACTTAGGGCAGGAGCTTCAAAAGCTTCACGGCTTCATCAACTTCCCACTTTAGCAGAAATGTTGGGGTCACCAGAGGCACTGATTGAGAAAATATTTCAATTCAATGCATATTTGGACGAAGGCTTATCAGGTGAAATGCGCAATTCCATGTTGGCTGCGGCAATACTAATAGCCACGTCAGCATATCAATCAGTCCTCAGCCCTCCAGGAGGAGTCCACCAAGGTGACACCAACACCTCAAATCAACCAGCGGTGGAGCCTGGAGAAGTGGTGATGCGAGCCACTAAGTTTTATCCATTCTTGTTGGGGAATTCATTGGCATTTGGTGCTTCATTGGGCATTGTCTTTTTGCTGCTACCAACAACTGGTTACGGTGTGCTGCACATTTCTTTGGTCCTTCTGATGCTAGGATACATCGACTCTGCACTAACAATATCACCTGCAACTCCAACTGCGGTGTGCTTCGTGTTTGCGGGCTTCCTGTTGTTCACTTTGATTGTGGCCGTCAGGATGGTGTGGAAACTATTGCAGAGATTTCCATCAGCTTCTTGGGAGACTATTGGTAGCGTCTACTTTCCCAACCGGGATTAACTCCACTTTGCACCCCCAGATTTGTACCACTTTAATATGCATATTTGTCTGTATTTGATGGCGACAACGACGGAGCAGGATTTTTCTCCGCCTGGAGGGGGGGTGCAAAATTTTTTCTAACAAAATTATCTTTGTATGTTATGCTTAAAATAATTTTTATCTATTTAAATATATGACATCTAAAAATATCAAATATTAAATTTAATTATAAAGGTATGTTTATTTCGTAAATATGCAGTATAGTCACAACAAAAATTAAGATAAGAAATAACTTTTGATTAAATATTTTATAACGTCACAAACCATCCAAGTTGAACATTATGAGAAGATGTTCTAATAAGTCACCTATGCAATATAAATATAACTATTTTCAAATAAAAAAGATAAAAGTTATGGTAACATACCTTGAAATTTCAATCTCTTTTCTTAGAAGTAAAATGAGATTTACGTTCTTTCATAGAACTAAATTTATCTATGATTGAATCAGTGCTAAATTTTTCAATAACTTCCTTTTTTATGTACATAGTGAGACAATCATTCAATAAATTATCTTCCATCTTGTTTCAAAACTTTGTCTTGATTTTTTTTATAATTAAAAATGTTTGTTATATAGTTGCAGTTGATAGAGGAAGAATGAGAACAAGTTTAATCAATTAGGCTAAATTGTATATTTGTCTATGGACCAATAAAGTAATTATTTTTGTTTTAACCTATTGATAATTATGAATTGGGTCTTTTATTATTATATATTGATATGGTATAAATTGTAGTACATTTATAGATATAAGTTACTAGTTAACTATGTTATTTGACTTTTATGTTGAGTAGAGATTATTTAATTTTGCTTTTATAATTCTAATAGGTGAAAAGCTCAATTGGAGAGAAAATGAACTAAAAACGTGGTGTGAAGAAACAATGAAAGAGAGGATAAAGTGAAGAGGAGCGCATTTCGCAAGAATGATATGTTTCAATAGTTTGGCAATAACTTGAGCTACACAAGTCAGATTGAGATGATTCTTGATTCAATTTGAAGTTAGGAGGATGCTCTACAACTTTTATGAGACTCAAAGTTTGATTCTCACGTTTTCATAGTAAAAAAATCCAAATTCCTAAAGTATAATTGTATTGCGATGCTCTTACGACTAGGTCTCAGTATTTTAGCCATAGTTAAAGTAAAAATAGTTTTGATAAGGACAAAAAAGGAAGTTCATAAAGTAACGATAAATATTAACACCAATGTTAATCCTAAACCCCTTCAGCAGGTTTTAAATATAGTATAGATATACTTCTATTATACTTATATAATACCCATCTGAAAATATTAACTTAAGAAGAACTTGCAAAATACATATATTTTTTAATACTCAACTAAAAAAATGCTCATACATGTAATAAAAAATACAAAACACATATCAAACTTTTTCGTCTTTCTTTTTCGATGTTCCCATATTGTACTTAAAAAATAATATTGCAGTTTATGACAAAAATTTGTGTTCGACTACAAAAAAAAAATTGTATAACTTATAAGTCAAGCAAAAAATAACAAAGACTTATATGATTTTATTTTCTATACATATGAATGTAATATCGACAATTTGATTAATATATCATCCCTAGAATTATGATTAAAAACTATTATTAATATAGAATAACATCTAGAAATCATATAAATGCATCTACAAACATATTGGTATTTTATGCATAATTTTGCTGAACTTGTATTTCATGCATAATTTTGCTGAACTTGTATTTCTTAGCCAAACTTTTAAGGACTAATTTTTCTTACACTGACAGTGTATATATTGTTAGTATTTGATAAATGATAAGTATGCAAAATTTAAATTTAAAATTCAACATTTGCACATATATCATGAATCTCACAGTGATAATATATACATTGTCAGTGTATATAAAATTTACTCAACTTTTAATCCTTCTATTTAGAAAAATTGAATAATATGCTTGCACTCGAACACACTGTAGACAATGGAATTTTAATTAAATTTTAAAAATTACCATTGGTCTATTAAATATTTTTGTCCAATCGGATATTGCCATATGGCATGTACGCTTGGAAAAAATTGGTTATTAAATGGCCAATTATATTTTGCCACGTGTCAAGGCGAGGTGTTCCAGATCAATTCAAATTACAGGGATATCTCCACCAACCAAATCATATCATGTCACATGTCTATTGGATAAATATCTAAATATTTATTTCGTATTAAAGGGATAATATTTAGAGTTATTTAATCCAAATATATCTCTTATATACTGCAATAGATTGGCCAGTCAAACGGCGCCATGTCACGTGTCCCCACGAGTTTGGCCAATCGATAAATTATTTATCTCTTTATTAATAAATATAAAATGAAGAGATAATATTTGATTTGTACAGTTCTAATATGACTGCACGTCTTGCAAGACAAGTAAAGTAGTACACAGGTCTTCAATCTCTACCTCTTGCTACAACTATAAATAGAGGTCTCTTAACCAAATCAAACTCATAGACATATAGAGATACACACCAAAAGGCATCTCATACACTCAAATGGTGAAGTTCCAAGCTACGAACATTTGGGTTTTCAAACTCTTCAAGTCTTCCATATAGCAAGGCTTGGGCTTCCAAATATTTTCAAGTTCTTCAAATCTTCCATATCAAGATTTGAAAGAATCGGTGGTTGATCCAAGAACAAGCTGCGTAGCCCTTGGATTGGTGTTCGAGGAGAAGAATCGAAGGAAACTCTCCATAAGTTCGAGAAACTTTCAAAGATTGTACCCCCATATTTTTCTAAATTTATATATTACATATTTGTCGTGTATTTCTTTTTCTTATCGTTTTGCAGATTTGAAATTTTTATCGCGTACAAATTTTTGGCACGCCCAATGGGACCATCTCTGCCTTCCATCTCTTCTCTTCGAATATTCAACTACGTATATCACCAATGGCACCAAAGAACAACAAAATCATGATTGCACGTTCCAAGGCTACTGATGCTAAACCGGTTCAGGAAGTTGCACATGTTGCCATCAATACCCGCGCTATTGGTCCCGTGACAAGGAGTATGACGAGAGCCTCCACCCAAAATAGCATGGAAGCTCCATCGGCGCCAACTCACATCTTTGGGTCAACATCACCAATGAGCTATTCTTCCACGATGGGAATCCAAGACGTTCCTGCATCGATTGAGAAGGCTCTTGCCATGCTCGAATTTGGATCCGAATCCAAATTTTCTAAGCATGACGATGATTCATCAAGCACTAGATTGGCCTCTTCACATGAAGCTCTTCATTCAAGATTTTCTATTGAAGATTCGGTTGCTTCTTCTGCTGCAATGCCTGCTATGATGACAAATACTTTGAGTCTCGAAAAACAAGTTTCGAACATGTCCAAAATGATGGAAACCATGATGAAACACATCAAGAACCAAGATGCTCTCATTGCTTAATTGCTCACCCAGAAAGATCACGAAGGAAGCCATGCGAATCCTAGGGAGCACCAAGAGCGTGAAATTCCTTCATCTAAAAGCAAAGACAAGATGAAGGAAGTATATGTGACTGCCGATGGAACTATCCCCGTGGAACAATTGAAGGAATTTGTTGAAGGCGTGATCAAAGATAAAAAGGAGGGTGGTTCAAAGTCAAGCTTTACCTATTGCAAGCCTTACACTGCTAGAATTGACAACCTAGTAATGCCTGTTAGATATCAACCGCCTAAATTTCAACAGTTCGATGGGAAAGGTAGTCCAAAACAACATGTGACCCATTTCGTCGAAACCTGCAATAACGCTGGAACCTATGGTGACCTGCTAGTCAAACAGTTCGTTCGATCTTTGAAGGGCAACGCGTTTGATTGGTACACTGATCTCACTCCGGGGTCCATCGATAGTTGGGAACAGTTGGAACAATAGTTCTTAAATCGCTTCTACAGCACTAGAAGAACTGTTAGTATGCTGGAATTGACTAACACTCGTCAATGGAAAGATGAACCTGTGGTCAACTACATTGATAGGTGGAGAAGTCTGAGTCTCAACTGCAAGGATAGACTGTCTGAACCCTCTGCCATAGAAATGTGCATCCGAAGGATGCATTGGAGCCTGAGTTACATTCTACAGGGTATACGTCGAAATACATTTGAAGAATTAGCTACTCGTGCTCATGATATGGAGTTAAGCATCACGGCCAATGCAACTGATGGGCTTCCCATTCAAGCTCCGCGAGTGCAGCCGCCTTGTCAAAATAATGAAAGGCAAGAAAATAAAAAAGAGGGCAAACCTCATTCAAGATTCAATAATAAGGAGTCCATGGCAATAAACACAACTCCCATGAAAATTGCTATCAAGGTGAGTCGAAAGGTCACCGAAAAGTTAGACTCCCCTCAAAATAGGTCGATAAGAAGACCTACTCTAAAAGAAATGCAAGAAAAGGAATACCCCTTTCTTGAATTCGATTTACGAGGGATGTTCGATGATCTTTTCAAGGAGAAACTCCTTGAACTTCCCGACATGAAGCGCCCAGAGGAAGCTGGTCAAGTCAATGATCCAAATTATTGCTGTTATCATCGCTTGATTGGCCACCCTCTCACTAAATGCTTTGTCTTTAAAGACAAAATTATGGAATTGGGCCGTCAAGGGAAAATCCTTCTCGAGGAAGATAAAGTATTGACAAACCAAACAACAATAATGTTTGGATCTGTGTGTTGTCCGATAGAAGTTTTATCTATAACAAGCAGTGCTTCATCCAAGGAGCTTGAAAAATCCTCAATTGAAGATGTTATTGAAGATGACAACGAAGGATGGACTTTAGTCACTCGGAAGAGGACTTGCAAGCCAAAAATAAAGAAGTACATCTTTTCGAAAAGCATTCGTTCGACAAACCCTGAAGTGACAATGAAACGACGAAATGCAACAAAGAAACAAAAGAGAGTGGCCACAAAATCAATTCCTTCAGATTTTCAACTCTTTCAAGAGGTTCGACAGCCCGTGACACTGAGAGAATTTATACCCAAGGGGTATTTAAGTGACAATGCTGATAACTCAACATCTTGTAATGTCGTTAAAGCTGAAAATTCTCAAGTCACACAAATTGGTACGAAATTTG